AATATTTTTGTGATACATTTTTTTCAGAATGATTTTGAATAGAAAGTTCAAAAGAACTGCATTTATATGAAACCGAAATCTTTTGTAGCATAATAGCATTATTATTCATGTCTTTGTCACTTTTGATCAATTTAATGTGTCCTTGTTTAATAAAAATATTAATGACCCCAAAAGGTAGTGTACTACATATTATAGTGTGTCTTAAGGGCTAGGATGAGAGAATGAATTATGAATTATTGTGTACATGTCTTTGTCACTTTTAATCAATTTAATGTGTCCTTGTTTAATAAAAATATTAATGACCCCAAAAGGTAGTGTGTCTTAAGGGCTAGGATGAGAGAATGAATTATGAATTATTGTGTATTTTTAGGCAGCTTTGGTGGAATCAGGTTGTACATGACTGAGCTCATAGCTATTACTCAGAGGGCTCTGCAGTCTCAGTCCTGGAAGATGAAGGCTCAGGGTGCCTCTGCCATGGCAACTATTGCTAAGCAACAAACGGGCTCACTGGTGGCACCTCACTTGGGCATGGTGTTGAGTGCACTACTGCAGGGGCTTGCAGGACGCACCTGGGCAGGGAAGGTAACATACCCACTCTTTCTCAAACACATGATCTGTGCTGGGGTACAGACTTTATGCACCTGGGCAAGGATTAATAATACTGTGTGCTCTGGAAGCAGACAAACATCTCAGTGGTTTGTTTTAACCTGATTTCTTTCTTTGCTGTATTTGTGGCCACTGAAGTCTAATGTCTTGTATATCCACAGGAAGAGCTGTTGAAAGCTGTTGGATCTGTAGTGTCTAAATGCAGGTTAGACTCTACTATATCTTTCACACACTTATATAGTTGTGCTTATAGCTTTACATGATCTGTAAGATGTTTAGCAAAAACAAAACAAAAAATGGAATAGTTTACCCAAAAATGAAATTTTGCTGAATATTTTCTCACCTTCAGGCTATCCAAGATGTAGATGAGTTTGTTTCTTCATCAGAACAGATTTAGAGAAATTTAGCATTACATCACTTGCTCACAAATGGATCCCCTGAAGTAAATGGGTGCCGTCAGAATGAGAGTCCAGACAGCTGATAAAAACATCACAATCCATGCGACTCCAGTCCATCACTTATTGTCATGTGAAGTGAAAACCTGCATGTTTGTAAGAAACAAATCCATGATTAATGTTTTAAATTTAAACCGTCACATATAAGGATGATTTTTTTTTAATTAATTGTTGCTTTATCAGATGTTAATTGATTGATGTTAATTGAGTGGTGTGGATTACTTGTGATGTTTTTATCAACTGTTTGGACTCTCATTTTGACGGCGGCACCCATTCATTGAAGAGTATATACATTGGCAAGCAAGTAATGCTAAATTTCTCCAAATCTGTTCCTAAGTAGAAACAAACCCATCTACATCTTGAATGACCTTAAGGTGAATAGAGTTTCAGCCAATTTTCATTTTTGGGTAAACTATTCCTTTAAATATATGGTCATTCCTTAAATGTAGTGCTTTGAATGATCCTGTTCAGAGGTGTACCTACTTTTGATTCTTAACATTATGTTTAGCCTTTTATAGCGAGTTGTGCAGAGCATGCTGGGAAACCAAAACTCACAGGAAAACAGAAAATTATAAACCTCTTGCTGTTTCTGGGTTAATGAAACCTATGAGTTGAACTGTACTTACTGTATGTAAGTTTTCATATACGTGGGATTCTGTCTGTAGTGTGGAGCTACAGAAGCCTGCAGCAGGTCAGCCAACGGTGAGCGAGGTGCTGGATCTGGTGCTGAAGGAATGTAAGAAAGAGAGTCCGGTTTATAAAATGGCAGCCTTACGCAGTGCAGCAGACATCTTGGAGTCGACGCAGGAGGATCGTTTTCAGGAAATCACAGACATTGTACTTCCTCTCATTAAAAAGGTGCAGCAAACCCTACATGCTCATAGTAAATCTGTTTTTTTAAAGCTTTGGCATTTCGTCCTAATTCAGTTACAATATTGCTAAAAGTGTTTGAATCATTTGGGAGCCCCACATTCAGTACTTAATTTAAAAAACTTTTTTTTGTATTTAGAATCAGCCAGCGAGTGCCAGCTCCCCGAGACATGATGATGATGATGAGGACGACAATGATGCTAAAGCTCATGAATTACAAACAGAAGTTCTGTTGTGTGCATTTGAGACACTTGGAAAGACCTGGCCTGAAACCATTCAGACACAGAGTAAGTCTGTTACAAGTCTTAGACACACACAGGGGTAGAGTGCTGCTGTTTAATGAGTGTGTTTTGTGTTGTAGATCAGTTCCAGAATGAGGTTTGTAGCGTAATGTGTGATCGACTGAAGTTGAGCACGTGGAGGGTCCAACTGGGAGTTCTGCGTGCATTGAAGGTCTTCTATCAGAGGTATAGTATACTAAAAACTTTTACGTAGACAAATGCCTTGTTTGTGGGAAATATAGGCTCTTCTGACAGGGTTTTTGAACTTAAAATGTTCTTTAAACCATATTTGCTTTTCTTTGAAAATAGCAGGTAGAAAAAGAGTAAAGTGCTAAAATAGTTGGTGAATGCATTAAAAAGATTTTGAATGCTGTATTGACTGTATGGTGTTTTGTGTGTGTGTGTATGTTCTAGATTGTTGCTGTTGGATAAGAAACCTCAGAACGCTGCTGTTCTGACTGAGATGTTGTCTGACACCTGCACTGCCCTGGCAACACCACTAGGTAAAGTTTCTCATGAGCTTCCAAACATTAAAGGCATAGTTCACCCAAAAATGAAAATGTAGTCACCCTCAAGATCTAAACAAAAGAAGGCATTTTGAAGAGCGTTGGTAACCAAACAGTTTTGGTGACCGTTGACTTTCAAAAAAAAAACGTATTTCTCAATTTCTTTTATTTTGCACAGAAGAATTTTATTTTTGTTGACCCCTCTTTTTATCCACCTTTTATTCATACTTGGCTCATGAGAATCATTCTTTTTTCCCCTACAGAAAACAAAAGCTATTCATCAGTAAGAACAGAAGCCTTGGCGGTAGTTGAACTTCTTTTGAAGAGGATGGAAGGTAGCGTTGATTTGCTCTAACACAGGGGTGCCCAACCCTGCTCCTAGCGATCGACTGTCCTGCAAAGTTCAGCTCCAACCCTAATCAAACACACCTGAAGCAACTAATTAGGGTCTTCAGGATCACTTAAAAATTAAAGGCAGGTGTCTTTGATTAGAGTTGGAGCTAAACTTTGCAGGACAGTCGATCGCCAGGAGCAGGGTTGGGCACCCCTGCTCTAACATGTCGAAAAATAGCTGATTACAGAAATAGGTCAGTTATATCATGTTGTTTCAAATGTTCCAGGTAAAAAACTAAATTATGCCAGATATCTCGGTGCCAATCCTGTGACTTCTACACTGTCCTGTACTAAAGTTAAAAAACCCAAAATAAATAAAAAAAGCCAAATGCATTAGTTCCTTTTAAAAGTAAAAAAATATATGTTTGTGCATATCTGCAAACATAGACCAGAGGAATAGGAAATTTAAAATCGTTTTGGAAAATTTTGATATTAGAATAGAACTACATATTGTTTAGGTAGCAACATTGTTTTGAAACGACACTATAGTTAGGGTGACCATACGTGCCATTTTTATGGGACGCACCCTTGCCAGGATTTCTATATTGCCTAAAATATCCAGGTTTTGGCTGTTAGCACTGTGCAGATCGATCGTTGCATGACATTATTTCACGAGAGCTATAGAGAGCAGAGCAGATGGCTCCTTATGCTTTCAAATCACTCTCGTGGTACTTTGGTGTCATACAACAAGCAGCTTCAAGTCGAACGAATGAACAAACACGTGCACATATTTGCATCGAATTTGATCGTTCTCACCTCACGCGCGACGCACCACGATTGGTCGATTATGTACAATACCTGCATGTTATTGGTCAAACTACTTTAGATGTTTTAGGAAATATGAAAATCGTGGCCAGGACATGTCCCGTATAAATGGCACATATGGCCACCCTAACTATAGTGTCTATGAACTCTAAAATGACCATAAAACTGACTTGAACAACTTTGCAGTTCAAATAATATCAGTTTTGACAGAAATAAAGTTAAAATGGTTTGCGGGTATGAAAAGTTGGATCGAAACCTTCTCACTAATAAAATTGATGCTGTTTTATGTTTGTAGAGAGTGATCAGTGGGAGTTAAAAATAAAAATGTGCGTATTTTTTTGGGTGTCTGGCAAAATGATAAAGAAAATCATTTCGTCTGCTTGAACCCTGTCCCTTTCTTACAGTTGACTGCCAACTGGCATTCAGATCTGCATCCAGAGATAGATATACATCACAAAATAAGAATAGAAAAAAATCTCGCTATTTGTTACATCGTGACTTTAAAATTACAAAGTTCTTCTACATATTGACAAATTAATTTCCATGATTTGTGACTACTGGATAAATCTATAGAGCTTTGTATTTAGTATTTGGCTAATCAAATATTTTAGCATTACGCATTTATTATATATATATATATACACATATACACACTTTAAGATAATGGCTATAAATTACTATTCTATGACATCGTTCAGTGTTTAAGCAACATCCAATAACATTTAATGGCAAAAACACATTTGATCAAATATTAAATCAGCATTTGTCAACTGTTTTCTTAAATGTTCATTAGGGCAGGATGTCATCTTGACAATTTCTGAAACCACTACAATTTTTTTGACATTTTATTTATACAAAACCAGCTTGCAAAGTTTGAAAAGACAAAAAGTAATCCTACAAACAAATATATTGAAATACAGTGCACAGAGAGAGAAAACAGACTCACAGGATTAAAAAGTTGTAGAGCAACTACACTCCATAACGTCAATAATGCGGAGAACATTTGTGAGTGTAACAGCATTTTAAAATAGGCTACACACATTTTACTGAACCAGATGCATCATGAGTGTTTGATCTTTTTCTTACTAGTTGTAATTGTAAAAAATGAATGGGTCATGGGTGGTTTATTTTACCTTCTGCCACGCCACATTGAGAGCCTCATTCTTCTTCTGGTCCAACTCTTCAATTGTTTCCAAGATTTTGGCTTTATCATTCTCAACAATTCTCTTTTTTTTCTTCAGATCATTGTACTAAAAGAAGGCAGACAGTGTTATTACATTTTACTACTACTACTACTACTAATAACAACATATTTCTAATAGAAATAGCTATAATCATTACCAATAAGTAAATAAAGATACCACTAATAATAAAATAAAGCAGAAACTGGTCAAAATCTCACAAAAACATGCAAGGCACAACTAAATAAATAATAAAAATAATTAAATAAACACAATCATTCAAAATTGGGGTCAGTCAATAAGATTTAAGTGACTGTAAAAGACATACAAATGCTGTTCTTTTGAACTTTCTATTAAAGGGGTCCTATTATGCTCTTTTACAAAGTCTTGATTTTGTTTTGGGGGTGTACTAGAACAGGCTCTCACACTAGGTTGTTCGAAAAACACATTGTTTTTCACATATTTTACATTATTACAACACCTCTCTCCCCAGTCTGGCATGAACGGCTCGAATAGTTTCTGTATCAAATGAAGGCCCGCCTTCTGAAATACGAAATGTGCTGTGATTGGTTAGCTGGGCCAGTGTGTGTTGTGATTGGCAGCACTCGGCACCTGGTCGGGAAATGTCATGCATCTTACCATAGCCACCTGCAGCTTCAGTGTGAATATTGCGTCAAAATCAAATCAATTTGAGCGCGATTTAACCCTGGATGATTGTAACCACTCTAAAGTTCGTCTGCCTTGAGAAAACTAGCGTGTCTCTGACATAGTGATAACACTCATTGCCTTCTCTAGTGTGCAGCTCAACCAGGTCTCGTCCCATTCGTCGATATTTGTGATATCACAAATCCCGGAAAATATGCGTTGTAGTCCAAACGAGTCGTTCGTTGTAGTTTTTGAAAAGTGATTTCTGTTAAATAAAATGTATCCTTTTGAAGTGGACTTTGAGCTTTGTAACTTTGCAGATCTTTTTTATGCTTAAACAGCAACATTACAGACTAACTAAAGTTGAAAAACTGAAAAAGCATAATAGGACCCCTTTAAACAGAATTCTGAACAAAAAATAATAAATATCAATTATTTTCAACATTAATTTGGTGCTCAAGAAACATTTATTTTTGTCAGTATATTAGAAGGATCATGTGACAACTGAAGAATGGACAAATAGCTTCTGAAAATTCAGCTTTGCATTTCAAACTATATACATATAGAATTCAGTTATTTTAAATTTTAATAATTTTTCAGAATATCACTTTTTTAATAAAACTCTATTTATGACTAAATAAACGCAGCTTTGGTGAGCTTAAGAGGCTTCTTTTGAAAACATCAACAAATCTTACCAAAAAACTTTTTGAAAGGTATTGTATATACAAGATGTAGCCTTACAGAGACAAACTAGTAATAAAAAAAAGAGCATTTTAGCCTTTTGAGGACATTTAATTGTCAAAAGCAGACATAATATCAAGTTTCCCAAGATTAACCTCTGCTCTTTTATTCTCATCTATGTTTAAGACATCTTTAACAGCACTGTCACTAAAGAGGTCGTACCCTTTCCTCAGCCTCACTGAGCATGTTCATGGCCCTGCGGTTGACATTTCTCTCCAGCTTGTCTTTAGTCTCCTCGAGTCTCTTCAACCTCTGTCCAGCCTCTTTGGGATTGTTGGTCTTAAAGTCGTAGGCAGTGTTGGGCTGGCCGAAGAGATGCTTCTCAGAGGAGATCCAGTCATTTTCAGCTAACATGCGGGCCACCTAAACAAACGCAAACATTAGATAGTCTAATCTACAACACCCTAGTCTGGAATGATCTCATTAACTTCCTCTGACCTTGGCAGTGGCATCAGCGCTGTCTTTCTTGTGTTTGCTGATGTTGTGCTCCAGCTCTTTGATTTTGAGCTGAGCATCATTATTTTGCTCTCGGAGGCGGTTTGCTTCTCCGGTCTTTCCTTTAATTTCTCTCTCCTGTCCCAGAATCACCTTCTTCTGTTGGGACAGCTGCTCCTGTGCAGCACGCACTGCTTCCTAAACGCACAGAGTGACAGTTTACATTTATGGCAACAAAGGCATCCCTTTTAAAGGGACAGTCCACCCAAAAACTACAATTGTGTCATTTACTCACCTTCATGGCATTCCAAGAGTGTATGACTTTTTGTTTTGAGAAACATAACACAAGACAGGTTAAAGTTTTGGTTCCGAATGACATCCATTGTCAAAGGGAACCAAAACTGTTTTATTTACCAACATCTTAAAATATCTTGTGTGCTTTACAGAAGAAAGTCATAAAGGTTTGGAATGACAGGAATGTAAAAAGAGAACAGAATGTTCATTTTTAAGGGATAGGATTAAAATAAGTTGTCTCTGTACCTTATTGGCAAAAACCTCAGTGGTCATGGTGTCGATCTGCTCCTGTATGGCTTTCAGAGCTTCATCTACAGCCTGAATCTGTTGCTCATATCCAGCCTGTTCTCTTTTCAGCTCCTCCAACTCCAGAGTTACTGCATCTGCCTCCTAGAGAAAGAAAGAGAGAGGTATTTTCAGAAAAAAAAAAGTACTCAGCTTCTAGCTGTTGTGGTGTGACACAACCCCTGTAGACCCAGTGTAACTTTGTCAGTCAGGAGCCTGATACGTGTCGTCGTAATGGGAAAGTACCTGCTGTTTCTCTTTCAGTCTCTTGTTGTAAGCATCTGCTTTGCTCTTGGCCTGGTTGAGTTTCTGCTGGGCTGCTTTCAGTTCTTTCTCTCTCTCTGCCTCTGCATTCTTCATCTTGTTCTCCAGAACTTTGTACTTCTCTTCTGCCTTCTTATGAACCTCCTTTGTCTTCTGCAGAGTTTCCTCGCACTCCTCTAAAGAAACAGAACACCACGATAGTTAAAGACCAGCAAAACCAGCAATGACCCATATTGTGTAGTTGTGTGTTTATTGCGCCTCTTATACAGAGCACCGGTTTCAGAAAGAGAACTAACAAAATTCTGCCAAAGAGTGGTATTTGTGTATACCGATGGTCTTGCGCAGGTTCTCCAGCTCCTCTTGTTGCTTGTGGAAGGAGCTCTGCTGAAGTTTGGTCTCCAGGATCCGAGCCTCTTCAGTCTTCAGGTCCAACTGCTGCTTCAGCTGACGATATCTGAAAGAGAGCAGCAACATTTCAGTCTTCTGCCTTGTGCTTTTGTTCCGATTGGTCAGTGAGGATTTTGAGAAGTTGTATTTTGGACAGAGACTCACTTCTCAGCTGTTCCCTTGAGGCTGCTGAGCTCAGACTCTACCGCGGTGAGTTCTGCCTCTTTAGCCCTCAGACTGTCCTGAATGTCCTTCACCTCAGCCAGTTTAGACAGGACAGAGGCCGTCTGAGCACGTGCACCTACACCCACACACACAGGTAACAGTTATTACAGAACACAATGTTCTACTGTCCCTTGCAAATGTATTTAGACCATAAACTCATCTGTCTTCTGGATAAAAATCCCACAGGTATCATTATTCAGATTGTAAATTGTGGTCCACCAATATAGGTTTTCTGTGGCTAATGCAGATGGTGAGAACTAGAGATTAGGGGCCAGTATAAAGGTGATACACAAAGTACAATTTAATGATCGCAAAGATGTATCTATGGGTCCTGTAGCTCAAACAGCAAATGGGCCAATTCCCAGGGTATGCATGAACTGATAAGTTGTATATATTAGCAAATAGTGTAATAAAGCATTTGCCAAACGCATGTTACATGAATGTAAATGTGCATAAATCAGTTGAACCTGCAACATACTGAGCTCTAAAACTTAAAGCTTTGATTGCTCTGCAAAATATTTGTGGAGATTGAATACTGCAAACTGTATATTGGTGAATCTCACAAAACCCATCATGAACAGCTCATATTCAGTATTGTTAATGTTAACTATAACTTAAAATAATTTTCGGTGTCGGCGGCGATAGCCTTGTGGGCAGCATGCAGACATACATTGTCCCAAGTTCTAATCCCGACTTGAGGACCTTTCCCGATCCCGGCCCCTATCTATCACCTATATCATAATAAAGGTGAAAAAAATGCCACAAATAAATCTTTTAAAAAATATATATTTTCGGTAATTGAAAGAGCTCAAATAAATGTAATATAGAAGATGAAAAATTAACTGGCAACTATGTGAAATAAGCTGACAAATTAAAGTAATAAAAGTGACGAGTACAAAATAAAAATTTAAGTAATAATTAACTGAAAATAAACATTATAAAAGTACATCACTATTAAAAATAGCACTTAATAAAATAACACACAGTAAAAAAGGGGAAAGTTTTTCTTGGGAGAATTTAGGAAAGGTATTTTTACATTATATAATATTATAAAGATTTTTCCCCCTCACAATTTGTCCAACATTCTCATTAAAACATTATTTGTTATATAGCAATCAGAATTTAATAAAGAACTGATCTGATTACATCAGATTGATGTAATGTGGAATTTTGAACAAATAGTCAGAGCTGTAATCTAGTAAACAGAGAACTGATAATGGGTCTGAATTAGGGGCGACCCCGAATAGTCGAAGATTCGATGCTTCAATAGGAGGAGCCTGATTCCACTACCAATCTCACAGTCCAATATTCGCGGGGTGATATGATCATGCCATTTTGGCTATATGGGTGTGCTCAAATGTCTGATTTCACATAGAACTACTGGTTTTCTCCCAGTAAGTTAATATACACCCTATTAAAATAATGCTGTAAATAAGAATCTGAAAAGAAAGAAGCTTCAAATAAATATTTTAACGTGTGTGAATAAATCCAACCACCCCTATAGATTTAAATTTCACTTTCCATAATCCGTGACTGACAGAGGAGCATGTTGGCAGCAGGGATTTAAAACTTTAACAAGACTCAAATTGACACAGGCAGAGTGAAAGGTATATATTATTTATCTCGTTTAAGATACATTTGGTTGAGTTGTGCTGCAGTAAAGCGCTTCAGCTACTACGGTGATTATCTCTTCAGCGCGCAGCGCGAGCAGGACATACAACAATGCATAATATTAATAACTATGACTGGGACTGTCATATACATAATTATAATGAGAACACTATTATAACAAAACGCTATGAATTTTTAGAGTTTAGTTGCTGTGTTTCTGCATGTTGTTGCGTGAAGAATGCATCCACAAAAGGAATTCATTCAGAGCCGCACAGACACGTTCACTTCTGTATTCGGGGCATTTTGTGCAGAAGATTGAATATTAGTCGTAATATTAACGTTATGTTGTATAAATAACGAAGCGTATTCTATATGAGATAAATGATGAGTTAAATTCCATTGATTAAAAACCTGCTGCTTCATTCTACTGGTCATCTTCAGCGCGTGCAGCTCAAAACAGAAATGCAGAACATTAATAACTACTGTCATATACATAACGTTATAATGAGAACACTATTGTAAAAAATGTTGTGAATTTTTTGGGTTTCGCTGACGTTTAATGTTAACTATCTTTTAATCAAAACATAAAACATAATTTACCCCGTTTGTATCTGCGAGGCATCCCGTTACACATTTTCCCTGTGTGTTAATGTAATTATGGCTGTCGAATGTCTGACTTGACTATTGGTAATGTATTTTGCCCCACCCCCAAAACATATGATTCGACTATCAGCAAGATTCGAAAATTCTGATTGGACTATGAAAATCCTTAGTCGAGGACACCCCTAGTCTGAATACATTTGTGAGGCTCTATATCTTGTGCAGTTATAAACACATACAAACCTCCGGTCAATGTTCCCTGAGGATCAAACACGTCTCCTCCCAGTGTAACAGTTTTGGTGCTCACACCTTTGTCAAAGGCAACTTTTTTAGCATTGTCCAAACTGTCACAGACTAGCGTAGTTCCAAAAACATACTCCATGGCCTTCCTCAGCTCCGATTCATAACCTACCAACGAAAGAGCGGTGTGCACGTTATCTGGCCCAACCTGCAACACAAAATATATGGGTATCCTTTCTCTCAATAAAATTCCACTGAGAATAAAATAAATCATAATCAAATCAACAACAGCTCATTAGCAGAGTTCTCACCAAGTTTTTGGCAGTGCGCACTACATTGTCATTAAGGGTACGTGCTGAGATTTTGTTCAGAGGAATGATGGTGTATCTGCGTTTCAGTTCACCCTTTTCCAGAAGCTTTTTCCCAGTAACCTGCAGACAGACAAGTTTAAAATCAAAACAAACTATTTTTCAAAAATGTTTGAGGACGCCTACGCGTTTCATAAAGTAAAACTCACCTCATTGTCCACTACTATGTTATAGAGTCGACCACCAGCAACCACCTCCAGAGCTGTAGCGTTTGACACATCAGTCACACTGAAAAGATTTGCCACCAAACCCTTCACCTTACTGGGGTCCCAATTCTTCTCTGGGTCCCTACATACACACACAGTACCAATGGAGTCAATGAATGAATTAAGTGTATAAACCACAAATAATAAATGAGTCTAAATGAAAATGGCTCGCATGTTCTCACGTGTACTCGAAGCGCAGGTTGGGGAACTGTCCCATGAGGGACTCGTAGGTTTCTCTGAGCTGACTGACGTCCCGTGAACACTGCCTCTTCTGCTCCAACAGACGCTCCTCTCGTCCATCTGAACACACAAGTTAATCTTCTTTAAAAAAAAATGTAAAGTAATGTCTTAAAGACTAATATGATACTTTAACTCTGTATTAAGCTTTAACATTTTACAGTTCACATTTTTAGGCTTCAATTAACTGCACCTAATTCAACCACAATCACAAACAAAATGTATTCAGTACCTTCATAGTTGAGTTTCTTCATTTCAGCCTGTAGCTTTTCTATGCATTTCTTCACAGCCTCAAATGTGTCCTGGTCTTTTTTGTAGCCACTGTCCATCTTCTTGACCTGAGCCTGCTTAGTCTTCAGCTCCTGCTGAGCGTGTTTCAGTTTCATCTGAGCCTATGAGACAGAACAGAGACATTTACAATCGGTCTTCAAAAAACAACATTATAAAATATAATAAAAGGTGCCAACATAATACCTTTCAAAAGTTTTTTTAATGAATACTTTTACATAAAAAGGATGCATTAAACTGCTTAAGTGACAGTAAAGACATTTATTAATGTTACAAAGGACTTTTATTTCAAATGAATGTTGTTCTTTTGAAACTTGTGTAGCATCTGGACCAATCAGACACACAATATATATATTTTTAGTTATATTTAACAAATACTCTGTAACCCCCCTCAGTTAACAAGCCATATGAGGGCCTATGGACCCTTCCCCCGAAATGCATCTTAACACCTCAGAAAAGCAGAACAGGCCCCTGGTTCCATGGCAACCAATGCTGATATCACTGGTTTTATTGCCCATAGGAATGCGGGCAGAGAAACTCACTCATTTTCCTCATAAGACAGACACACAATGCCCAGAGAAATGGACTGTTCTCTAATTAATTCATAGAAAAACCTTTCTGTGAATGAACACACATCAATCAACCGCACACTTTTCTAACAGGTATCAATTTGCATCATAAAAAAATTCAAAAATCTTTTCCCGTACAAATATTTTAATACTTTTGCCAGTCCATTACCCACTAGGGCTGGGTATCGAGTTCGATACTTTTTAGGCACCGACCGAATTGCCTCGATACCATCGAGTATCAAAAAACATCTCGTCGTTCGGTACCAAATTTCGATACCTAAAGGGTTAATCTCATCAACGTCCGTGACCCAATAGGCCTGCAGCACTAGGTGTGTTCGACTAGAAGCAGCGCAGCGCAGATTGATATGTGTTTGACATCCGCGAGAGCGATTCGAAAGCGTATGGAGAAGTCTGCTCTCTATAGCTCTCGTGGTACTGTAATACACCGATCAGTCAGCACAGTCAGTCCGCGTCAAGTCAAACACACCTACTAGTTTACACCAGATTCGGGTGGGAAACGTGCAATCTGTGATCGCGTGCCATTGCAGACGCTCGCGAAAGCATCATTTACACTGGTGCGTTTTTGTTTTAAAATTAAAACGATCCTCATCATACTGGCATTTACACTGCGTTTCAAGCCGGCTTTCCACTATCTCCGACTAACGACAAGCGACGGAGAGCAGTGTGCGAGCTGCATAGAGTTCCAATCATATGCTGATGTCCGTTCATACTACACGACCGAAAGTGCCTGATACGTGACCATTCATGCACACTGTAGCATCATGCTACATTAGATTTATATTCTGCTTTTACTCAAAACTCACTTTAAACCACCATCAAGTGTTTTTAATAACTTCCGATTGCCGTTCAATGTGTGTTTTGGCCATGTAATGTTGCTGAAATTAAATGTTATTATGTTAGTCAGAACAGCGATTGTGGAAGAGAGAACACAGGCAGACAGCGCTGGAAGCTGCTAATGCTTATCAGTTAATCAGTGGAAAATGAATAGAAATTATGATTCTGTCTGAGCTATGCATTTTTAAACGATGCACTAGCATAAATGTAGCCTAACAGATGTGTAAACTGAAGACTATTTTCAAATTATTAAAACTATTTGCACTTAATTTGCATTTATTGTGTTGGTTACATTTTGTTCCTTTGTGCAGTGGCTCAGGAGATAAGTCTTTGAGTCTGTATAAACATCAACAAGCTGAAATGTAATGTAATCTTGTTAAAATTGATTTCATAAAATTGGTATCGAAAAAAGTATCCTTCAGGAACCGGTATCAAAGTCAAGATATCAGTATCGAACATTTTTGAACGATACCCAGCCCTATTACCCACCATTCCACTCTCTATTACAGACCTTCAGTCTCCACAGGACAAGTACACGATTACCAACCTGTTCAGGTAAAAGAAACCCTACCTATTTAAATCAGACGTCACCACACCATTTAACAGACTGCGGTCCAATTCTGGACCTTAAATGTGTTCCAACAGGACCACAAGTCATTTTTAATAAATTAGAGGCAGTTTTTTTTCTGCACACAGAACAGTTAGGTCATCTTAACACTGAAAAAGCTACCCAGTGGATTCAGCCGAAGTAACATCATGATACAATTACTAACCATTTGTTGATTCTCATGCAGAGTTGACAAAAGATTTCAAGTTTAAGCTTAAACTGGCCTTTTTAGACAAAAAAAAACAACTATTTGGGTAAATTAAATATAAAATAGCATCTTGATAGATTACCAAAATATTTCACCTGAATAAAAAAATATATAAGTTACAATAACTATTTTTACTTTTTGTAATTATAGTAAAACTAGATTATGTTTACAACTCAAGCGCAGCCTTTAATCTTTACATTTGCTAATAATTTTGTCATTGTGTAAATACCCAATCCAGTACAAAAGTTGGTTAAGTTAGATTTTTTTTTATGTTTAAGGGTAAGTTCACCCAAAAATGAAAATTAGCCCATAAATTACTCACCCTCAAGTCATCCTAGGAGTATATGACTTTCTTCTTTCAGACGAATCCAGTCGGAGTTATATTAAAAATTGTCTTTGATCTTTCAAGCTGTTTAATGCCACTCAGCGGGTGTTGCATCCATCAGTCCAAAAAAAGTGAAATAAAAAGCGCCCATCCATAAAAAATAATTTAAAAAGTGTCTCACACGGCTCCAGGGGGTGAATAAAGGCCTCCTGTAGCGAATCGATACGTTTTTGTAAGAAAAATATCCATATTCAAAACGTAATAATCACTTTAATGTAGCTCGAGCTGACAGTTGTGCACAGAAGCAGCTCTGGGAGAATGACGTAAGAGGTTGGCTTTGCGCATGCGCCGCTCAGAAGTGACGAACACGGAAGCGCAGTGAGTAATTTATGGGCTAATTTTCATTTTTGGGTGAACTAACCCTTTAAAGGTAGGAGTATTTTATGCTCACCAAGACTGCATTTATGTTATCAAAAACACAGTTAAAAACTGGAGATGTCAAAAATGTTATTACAATAATAATTTTTAAAAAATTATAGTTTAATCTATCTATCTGAACCCAACCCTTTGAACACCTGTGTAAATATCATGTGGCTTGCATTTCACATTTATACATTATACTATGCTTTTGACATTTTTTAATGTAGGTGGTCGCAAAGCACTTGACAAGAAAGAAAGGAGAAAAATTTAAATGGAAACTATTACAGCAAGAAACAATTAAAAACAATTTAAGTAGCCCTCAAAGGCTGAAACTGCCCTATGAATGTTACCAACAAATACACTATTGCTTCTTGCTCCTGTTCCCTGCCTGTTTGCTCTGCTACTTACCTTGTCCCTCCTGCGCTCCAGCTCCTGTATCTCCGTGCTCAGCTCCTTCACTTTGGCCTCGTTCTGCTTCATGTTCTCCTGCAGCTGTGCGATAGAGCTCTGCATCTCCTGCAGGTCTTCAGTAGACTTCAGCTTGGTCTCCTCGGCACACACAAACAGGTACGCCACATACAGTCGACTCAAGTGCTCGATCTCACGCATGAGCTTCTGGTACTCCAGGTAGGACGCACGTTCCTGAGGAGAAGCAAGGGAGATGGATAGGATGTGACAAAGATGATAAGTATCTATTGTATAAGTCATATGTATTCGGTCCACAGTAAGGAACTGACGCTGTTAGAAAACGAAAAACAAAATGCTGTTCACAGCTGCACATAAAGAACCAGTGGCACACAATAATGTATAGCCTCTCTCTACTATACATGATTTATTAATAATTGACAAATTCATTATTTATATAAAAAGGTGTAAATAAATAAATAATGCATGATTTTCTAATAGCGTGAATCTAATATACACATATACAATAAATTATAAATAAGCACTTTTTTTTTTTTTTTTTTTAACACATGCCTCCTTCAGTTTCTCCATAGCAGGGGTGATCTCCTCATCCAGGATCTGTTTCACACAAAAACATCCAAAGATGAAATTGCTGGTTGTATCAATTGTTGGGTGATTTAAATAAAAAAGTAATAATGAAATAAATGTACATACAGTCTGAATCTCTTTCAGCTTGGCATCTTTCTTCTCAATAGTTTTCTGAGCACTGATCTTCTTGCATTCGTACATCCTGGTACCTGCCGCCTCCTCAATCATGGCCAGAATCTGTGAATAAAAAAAAACAGTGCAATTATTTAAAATTTCACAGAAGAAAACAAAAACTTGCATCAATGACACTGAATGTTTGTATAATTTCATCCATCAGTAAAGAGCAAATCAATTGTAAGCTTTATTACTACAATCAAAATGTGAGTAGATCACAACCATGTATACTCAAATGACAAACATCTCACCTCAGGAGGCTTCATGTTTAAGACCTTGGTGATTCTCCCCTGAAATAAACACACAATTGGGGTGATTATGAAATGTGAACAATAACTACATATGACACAAGTGCTTAACTGTCTAAAAATCCAAAAAGAAATTAGTAAAAAAAAAAATCAACATGAAATCAAAATGAACCCTATTTACTTGTCATGCATATGACAACAAACAAACTGTAACATTACACAAGTTAAATAAGTTGCAAACAGCCGTTCACATTCATTTAAAAATGAAAATGCTGTTGTTAAAGGGGTCCTATTATGCTTTTTCACTTTTTCAACTTTAGTTAGTCTGTAATGTTGCTGTTTGAGCATAAAAAAGATCTGCAAAATTGCAAAGCTCAAAGTCCACTTCAAAAGGAGATATTTTATTTAACAGAAATCATGTTTCAAAAACTACAACGAACGACTCGTTTGGACTACAACGCATATTTTCCGGGATTTTTGATATCACAAATATCGACGAATGGGACGAGACCTGGTTGAGCTGCACACTAGAGAAGGCAACGAGTGTTATCATTATGTCGGAGACACGCTATCTTTCCCAAGGCAGACGAACTTTAGAGTGGTTACAATCATCCAGGGTTAAATCGCGCTCAAATTGATTTGATTTTGACGCAATATTTACACTGAAGCTCGCAGGCGGCTATGCTGCCAATCACAACACACACTGGCCCAGCTAACCAATCACAGCACATTTCGTATTTCAGAAGGCGGGCCTTCATTTGATACAGGAACTATTCGAGCCGTTCATGCCAGACTGGGGAGAGAGGTGTGTTTTCGAACAACCTAGTGTGAGAGCCTGTTCTAGTACACCCCCAAAACAAAATCAAGACTTTGTAAAAGAGCATAATAGGGCCCCTTTAAGAATATGATTATCTAATACTTTTATAAAAAATCTTTTCAGGCCACATAACCCGAGAAGTCTTAAATCAGTGTATTATGGTGGTTACCTGCATGATAAGAAAGTGAGGGTTGTTGACATTCAAGCCAACTGAACAAAACAGATCCTGGACTCGCAGGTTGTTTGCATTCACGCCGTTGATAAGGTACTTGTTGCGTCCACCTATGACCACCTGCACAACAAACGATAAAATCCCAAGCGGTGTAAGTCACTCTGCGTGCTACTAGCCATCAGTGAGAGTGGAGCAGACACTGATCTCAAGGTGAATACCTGTCGTGTTATGGTAATCTCATCATGTGTCTCAAACCCAAGTGGACTCTGTTTCTTGTTGGAGTTGTCAAAGGTGATGGACACAGTTGCTTTGGTGATCCCAGCCAGACCATTTTTGTACACCAGATCTTGGAGATTAGTGGCACGAACCTACAAGGTTTGACAAACCAAAACAAGCAGTATTACATTTGAGCTTTTAAACTCTGCAACCCACTTCCATACTTAATTAATCATGCTCTGTATCCATATTAGACTGAAAACATCTATTCTGATTAAAGTTTGATTTTTTTTTTTGCATTTTGTTGTTGTTATACAAGTGATTTAGAAAACAGAACAACTGAAAATCGTTTTGTTTATTAAATAAGCAAAAACAATTAAACGAAATAAACAAACAAACCGCTGCCAGATTTAGACATATGGCTGCGTGTATATGATATTTCATGTATTAAAACTGACCTGTGATAGGTTAGATATCCCCAGCAGAAAGCAGATGGAATCCAGTATATTTGACTTTCCACTGCCGTTCAGGCCGGTGATGGCGTTAAAAAACGGATCAAATCCGTTAATCTCCGTCCTTTCGGCGTAGGACTTGAAGCCCTCTAGTACAATAGACTTTATGTACATTTCGATAAACCACCGTATGCGTAAAATAAAATAAAACCGCTATACGCTGTTATATTTTTCGTGATAACAACCTCAAAAGAACTTCGGCGTTGCTTTCAGTTCAACCATCCAAACTTGAAATTTGGCGCCAGGCGCGTTTCCGCTGCGCCGTTATGACCAGATTTCAGTTACTAGTTAAACTACTAACAAATAAATCCACTCGAATCCTGCATATATTTAGACAAAATGATAGTTTATTTAGCAAGAATTCATGTTCATTACAAACAAGTAATTGCCATTGGAAGTGAAATGAATGTATTCTTTTGATTCAGGCGACTTTTTAGCCACCCCATTGATGGACCCAAAACATTGAAGCGTGTGTGACGTCAGCACGGCGGTTTGGCTAGTAAGTCCGAAAGGAATGTAGTGTAGTGCACATTTAACCTGTTACATAATATTATCATCATATTTTATTACTCGGCTCAATGGAATAATTGATTCTGGCCAGTCGTGATATTCTGTTTTTGTGTAATGATCGGTAAACCATATTTGCTGGATAGTTGTGCTTGCTCTGTTATCACGAACTCGGTTTCTTTTTACGAAATAAAAACTTTTAATCCCAATTCAAATATTTTATTACCATTTATATACTTATTTGGTAAGTAGCTGTACATTTCGCCGTAAATATGTTATTAATTTGCCTACGTTTAATACATCACAAGATGCAAATCCTTTGGTACCAAGAATATTATGCATGCAATTCTGGGTCTTGCACACAGTGACAAATATTTAGAAAACTTTCCATATGTTTCATTTGTTAAAATTGTGCTTAACTAATTGATGGCTGTCACAGTATTTTATTCAATAAAGCACACTGCAGAAGAAATGAGAAAACATTCGATTTTTCACCAGATGACAAGATTATTAATATTCACAAGTTTGTCTCACAGTTTCGCTTTTTGAAATGATTACATTTATTAGTATAGCTTAACTAATGAATCAGCTAAAACACGTGCAAAACATGTCACACAATTTATAACACTTTTAAATAAATACACATTCTTAATATTCAAGTCACAGCATTACACATCAGAAACACCCTTTTGTGTTGCATTTGCACAAGCACAAATTGGATTTCACCACACCGTGGAGTTATGTTACAGTTACTGTAGGTCTAAGTGCTCAAAGCATGGCTAAGTGCTCAAAACACAAAGCATGGTCTTTGTACACTCCCTAAGGGTATTATAGATTACACTGAAATGAACTTTTTATTGTCAACATCAAGAGTTGAGTTTAGGACCAGTTCAAAAGAAATTCCTCAAATAAGAAGACTAATCAAAATGCCTCTATGCCAGAGGCACAGGACACATGGAAAGACACACCAGGTTAAAGGCATAGAAACAGATCTGCGCAAGGACAATACAGTCACCACGATCTGAATACATTGTAGTGGGCTGAATGTACGTCCAGTCATAGTTCTTAAGTTTTAGTGCCGTGTGGTGATACTTCTTGCTCAGGGACAGCAGACAGCGGGCCAGTGTGTATTTCGCAGCACAGCTCACTGCTCTGATGGACCGCACGGAGTCGAAATGCATCAAGAAACAGGGATCATCCTAACACAGCAGAGATATGCAAACTAAACATCTTCCAATGAAAAGTAAGAGATTCTGCTTCCTGTTATATTACAACTCATCAGCACCGTTAATATGAACAGCAGTTACTGTAAGTAGCATGTATATTCACAAATTGGAGGAGGATGAATGCTAAACTCAACTCACAGTATCTGGATCTCTACCGTCCAGAATCAGCAGGTCCTCCAGGGCCCAAGTCTCTGTTCTTTCATAACTGTCCTCCAGCCCATATTTCTGCAGCTTATTGGTCCGAGAATGCTTAACTCTCCGACACAGGACAACTGAGATCTGAGCTTCTTTATCCTTAGTTACTAAACACACATTGGTTTTGTATTTTTATTACACCCCTTCATCAAACCATATGAACCATAAACATATTTAGGTCTGTATTTTTTTTTTAAATTCTTCCTCCTTCACAAACAATTTCTGACCCTATCCCCAGATGAATTTTTTTTTGAGAATTTTAGTATCTCATCCATTTTCTCAAATAATTTGTTCCATATAACCTAAAATAATTGTGCAAAAAAGTTGATTTTTCTTACTAGAAACGCAGAGAAAATGACGTCCCTGCTGTTGCTCCTCTATTTCTATAAACTCCTCCAGCTTCTGTCCCTCCGATCTGAACAAGATTCTGTCCATCTCCTCCCTCAGCAGAGACGACATCTCAGGCAGAAAATTAATTTAAGTGTGAAAGAGAGCAAGAGCAGAGTGAGGGATAAAATGCTTTCTTGAGGTGGATCTGGTTTGCAGGGTTTATCACCCTCCCCGCTCTCTCTCTCTCTTTCTCTTTCTCTCTCTCTCTCTCTCTCTCTCTCTCTCTCTCTCTTTCTCACTCTCAGTTGACAGACGAAACTGTATCTTCTTTGCATTTTCAAAATTTCAAAAGAGGTTTACTTTATAAATTCAGTTACACTTTTGTAAATTTTGCTGAAGGAAATACTTTTTTTTGGTCTTCAAAGGCTGTTTGAAATATCATTTTTGGAACTTTTACATGGATGTGTCAGGAATCATCTATAAAAGAATAGTTCACTTAAAATTAGGTGATCCAAGATGTAGATGAGTTTGTTTTTTCAAATCAGAAAAATTTTGCATTACATCACTTTCTCACTAATGGATCAGTATCACAATAATCCACAAGTAGTCCACGGTCCATCAGTTAATGTTTTTTGAAGTGAAACCCTTTGTGTTTGTAAAAAACAAATCAATCTTTAAGATGTTTTTAACTTCAACCCATTAATAAAATAAAATAATGCTAAAATATCTATAGTATTGGTTTATCTCTATAGATAAAGTCGTCCCATGGAGAAGAGAAATATGCAATCAACATATCAATCAACATTAACAAGCGGAAACTGTTCTTAACAAATATGTTGGGATTTTGATGTTAGATGACAACAGGGAATTAACTTTTTTTACTGGATGAAGCGTTATTATTTATGATGGACTCATATTTTGGCCAGAAGCAACAGTTCACAGTTAAAAAAAAACACCTTAATGATGGATTTGTTTCTTACAAACGCACAGCTTTTTGCCTCACCTGATGTTAACTGATGGACTGGAGTCATGTGTGTTATTTGAGGATTATTGTGATGTTTTTATCAGCTGTTTGGACTCTCATTCTGACGGCACCCATCCACTGCAGAGGATCCAAATTTCTCCAAATCTGTTCTGATGAAGAAATAAACTCATCTACATCTTGGACATTTACATTTTCAGCAAATTTTCATTTTTGGGTAAACTATTCCTTTAAATGTAATTTGTGTACGATATGTGTTGCCACACTTTTTTTTTTTACATAATTTTGTTCAATATTTTTCAGAATAACATCACTCAGGGTATATTATAAACAAAGTAATAGCTGATCATATATTTTTGGACTATTGTATTATGCAATGGATTCAAAACCAAATAAATTAGCAAATGTTATATCAATATTTGTCTTTACATTAGATTTCCTGCTTTTAAATCTACACATTAATATTTGATAATTTTTTCCCACCAAATAATATTTTATCAAATTTGTTTTTGTTTGCTTTTTCACAATGATACAGACCTCCAACAATACAAGCTTGAAATCATGTGTGAACTCACATATTCTTTCCTCTTCTTTTCATCTCTGGTCTTCAAAGGCTGTTTGAAATATCATTTTTGGAACTTTTACATGGATGTGTCAGGAATCATCTATAAAAGAATAGTTCACTTAAAATTAGGTGATCCAAGATGTAGATGAGTTTGTTTTTTCAAATCAGAAAAATTTTGCATTACATCACTTTCTCACTAATGGATCAGTATCACAATAATCCACAAGTAGTCCACGGTCCATCAGTTAATGTTTTTTGAAGTGAAACCCTTTGTGTTTGTAAAAAACAAATCAATCTTTAAGATGTTTTTAACTTCAACCCATTAATAAAATAAACAAAATTTCAAAAGAGGTTTACTTTATAAATTCAGTTACACTTTTGTAAATTTTGCTGAAGGAAATACTTTTTTTTGGTCTTCAAAGGCTGTTTGAAATATCATTTTTGGAACTTTTACATGGATGTGTCAGGAATCATCTATAAAAGAATAGTTCACTTAAAATTAGGTGATCCAAGATGTAGATGAGTTTGTTTTTTCAAAACAGAAAAATTTTGCATTACATCACTTTCTCACTAATGGATCAGTATCACAATAATCCACAAGTAGTCCACGGTCCATCAGTTAATGTTTTTTGAAGTGAAACCCTTTGTGTTTGTAAAAAACAAATCAATCTTTAAGATGTTTTTAACTTCAACCCATTAATAAAATAAAATAATGCTAAAATATCTATAGTATTGGTTTATCTCTATAGATAAAGTCGTCCCATGGAGAAGAGAAATATGCAATCAACATATCAATCAACATTAACAAGCGGAAACTGTTCTTAACAAATATGTTGGGATTTTGATGTTAGATGACAACAGGGAATTAACTTTTTTTACTGGATGAAGCGTTATTATTTATGATGGACTCATATTTTGGCCAGAAGCAACAGTTCACAGTTAAAAAAAAACACCTTAATGATGGATTTGTTTCTTACAAACGCACAGCTTTTTGCCTCACCTGATGTTAACTGATGGACTGGAGTCATGTGTGTTATTTGAGGATTATTGTGATGTTTTTATCAGCTGTTTGGACTCTCATTCTGACGGCACCCATCCACTGCAGAGGATCCAAATTTCTCCAAATCTGTTCTGATGAAGAAATAAACTCATCTACATCTTGGACATTTACATTTTCAGCAAATTTTCATTTTTGGGTAAACTATTCCTTTAAATGTAATTTGTGTACGATATGTGTTGCCACACTTTTTTTTTTTACATAATTTTGTTCAATATTTTTCAGAATAACATCACTCAGGGTATATTATAAACAAAGTAATAGCTGATCATATATTTTTGGACTATTGTATTATGCAATGGATTCAAAACCAAATAAATTAGCAAATGTTATATCAATATTTGTCTTTACATTAGATTTCCTGCTTTTAAATCTACACATTAATATTTGATCATTTTTTCCCACCAAATAATATTTTATCAAATTTGTTTTTG